CAAAAAAAATAGTGCCTGATAATATTTAGCTACAGAAACTAATTTAATACAATTAAGAAGATGATTATTGGGCTGGAGAGATGGCTCAGCGGTTAAGAGCACCGACTGCTCTGCCAGAGGTCCTGAGTTCAACTCCCAGTAACCACATGGTGGCTCACAACCATCTGTAATGGGATCTGATGCCCTGTTCTAGTGTATCTGAAGACAGCTACAGAACTCATATAAATAAAAAATAAATCTTTAAAAAAAAGATGATCATTTACTTACCAGTTGTGACAAATTGTTTAATATAACGAGGTAGGTCCAAGCATTTGAGAAACTGAAGTTCCCCTCATCGTACACGCCAAGCAATTCACACGCTCTGAAAGGCGGCAAAAATCAGACAACTTTATGACTAACCGAGCAGACTTGTATCTTACGATATATCCTTTAGAGACTGAGGTTTTACTTATGAGTGTTCTCATGTATACCTGTGCTGGGTGTGCACGCAGTGCCCTGTGGCCTGAGAAGGGCATTGCATACTGGAGCGAAGATGGCTGTGAGCACAGGTGGCCCTAGGAACCACACCTCTGCAAGAGCTCTTAACCACGCCCACCCTCCAGTGTTGAGCGTGGATTTAAGGGACAGCAGCAGTGCTTAAACTTTCGAATCAGTTTTTTAGAAAGCCTATGGGTGACCACGTGATTTTGGTCAAAGATGGTTCAAAACCTGACTGATGGAGTAACATTTTTCTAGAAATGTATGACTATTCCTTTTAACCAAAAGAAATTACAAACTAAGAACCATTAAGCCAGAGAATAACTTCCTAATTCTGGAAAGCCTGACTGATAAACATGACTACAGCTCCCTTTCCCTGTAAATTATCTTGGATATAAATATTTAAAGGGCCAGATCCCCTCCCCTAAGGACATTTTACCACAAGTATTAACTTATACGCTCACCCTATTTCTAAGCAGCAAAGAAATAAAGCTTATTTCCATAAATGATTCTACCTCAGTGAGAGGATAAAGAGTTGAACTGTTTTCTTTTATTTTGTGAGTTGCAGAATGTAAGATCTAACAGAAAATCATATAAATGGACATTTTGGGATTTTTAGGGAACAAATTCCCAGGTGGTTTGATTAAGCCTCACATTTTGACATCAAACAGTTTTTGTGTGTGTTTAAAATCTGCTCGCCTCCGCCTCCTGAGCGCTAGGATTAAATGTGTGCAACAGTTAAAGTGGTAATAAACTTAACAGCACAGAAGATACATCTGTGTGACTAACCCAACCAAAGGAGCATATTCTCATATTCTCTCTCTCTCTCTCTCTCTCTCTCTCTCTCTCTCTCTCTCTCTCTCTCTTGGTTTTTCAAGACAGGTTTTCTCTGTGTAGCCCTGGCTGTCCTGGAACTCACCCTGTAGACCAGGCTGGCCTTGAACTCAGAAATCTACCTGCCTCTGCCTCCTAAGTGCTGGGATCAAAGGTGTGCGCCACCACTGCCCGGCCAACATGCTCTCAATGGGTATGAATCTTATAATTTTTTGCACTGTTCACCATAATGGAATCCAGCTCTTAAACACGTGGTTTTATAGCAGACCAGACTTTCACTGTTAATCAACTCTTTTTCTACTTGTTTTTCCCATATAAGAGCATAGGTTGTTAAAGACACAGCCCAGACCAGCCTTATACTCTCAATTCTCCTGCCTCTACCTTCCAAGTGCTACGATTATTTGCCATGAACTTGGTTTCTGTGGTGCTGGGGATTAAATACAGGGCTTTGTGCATACAAGGCAAACACTATTAATTGAGCCATATCCCCAGGCATCTAGTATGAAGACAAAAAAGAAAAAAACAGTAAAGGCAAGTCCTACTTACAATGCAGTGGCAGTGGTGATGAGCCGTACCATGGTGTACTGCAGCATTCCTAGCTTGCACCTAAAGAGCAGAATTCTGCAAAGGCAAGAGAACACGGTAGCTTAGCTACTTTTTGGCAGCAGGGTACTAATCCCTGTGACAAGTGACATCAACTGTATTGAATTCTGCCAACTTTATTCTAAAAGGTAGGAGGGTAAGAAGACGATGGCAACAAGGGAGCCTGAAGCCCATTTGAAATGATTTAATAACTTTGTCTCTGAAAGACACCCCCTCCCCCAGCTCCACTACAGTGCAACAGAACAAGATGGAAGGCATTGGGCCCTTAGTCTTTTCTCGCCTCCTACTCCTGCCAGGATCACCTCAAATCAACAGGCCCAAGTGATCCAAATTTGTGAGCCAAATACAGCCGATCATGGCAGGAACTCTGCCAGTGACAGAAGCTGCCTAACAAAGCTGCGGGAGCAAAACTGAGGCACCACTCAGCTGTGTCAACCGTGCACTCGTGCGTGTGCACTTACGTTCTCTCTGCTTGACAGCAGATGTGCTGCTAGGTGCCTTTCTCACCATGATGAGTGCACCCTTCAACTGTGAACCAATACTAACCCTGGGATTCTTAAGTGGCTTCTGGCAGTTTTTGTCACAGCAGTGAGGTGAGTAACTCAAGCTCTTTGTGTAGAACATACAATCTTAACCTTTTACTTTAAGAACTGTGTTTTAAAAACTTTTAGTGGCCCACACTTTTAATCCCAGCACTCAGGAGGAAAAGTAGGTGGATCACTGGGAGTTGGAAGCCAGCCTGGTCTACAGAGTGACTCCAGGACAGCTAATGTTACACTGCCTCGAAAATACAAAAAGAAAAACCAACCAACCAACCAACCAAAAAAAACCCACTTTTTAAAAAGAAACATTTTTAAAAGATTTATTTATTTTATTTATATGAGTATATTGTAGCTGTCAGACACACTAGAAGAGGGCATCAGATCCCATAACAGATGGTTGTGAGCCACCATGTGGTTGCTGGGAGTTGAACTCAGGATCTCTGGAAGAGCAGCCAGTGAATGCTCTTAACCACTGAGCTATCTCCCAGACCCACTTTTTTTTTTTTTTTTTAAAGGCTTATTTACTTTGTGTATGAATGCTCTGCCCGCATGTGTGTGTGTCTGTGTGTGCATTCCAGACGTGTGCCCATTGGGTTCCCTGGAACTGGGGTTATGGATGGCTGGAATGGCTAAGGGTCACTACTCAGGTGCTGGTTACCTAACCTGGGTCCTTGCAAAAGCAACAAGTGCTCTTAAACCCAGAGCCATCCCTCCAGCCTTTTAGTAAGTGACACAGGCTTACTCACCTTCCTTTACTGTCACACAGGAATAGAACACAGCTTTTAATTGCTTTTGTTTCCTGTCATATATTGTCTTCCCACCTAATCAACTTCATTTAAGTAGCTAGCAGTGGATCACATACAAGAGCTGTAGGTGCCAATTCCCGAGTATAAAAAAAGATGATAAATAAATATCTTCTAAGGGTTTCTTCTGCATATACTGATAAACATTTCATTGAGTGAGCAGTGTAAAAATAAAAACAAAAAACCCTCCTAACACGTGTATTATAAAAAGGTATTTTGTTATCTCTCAAACTGTGCTACATGCTAAACAGGGTAAGGGCTCTGCCTGTTGTTTGTGCCCCGCTCACAGCAGTGTGGAGCAGAGAGCCGACTGATATTTAAAAACCCTGCTTCTGTAAAGCCAACCATACTTACTCTCCCATAGCCCATGGAGGACAGCAGCATAAGGGAGGAAGGTGGTTTTGCTGATCTTTAGCTTCTAGGTGTAGCATCAAGTTGGGAAATCGGATTGTCAAATAGTTGGTAAGGAATATCATAAAGTTATAAATGACATACGCTTCGTAACACTCCCTGCAGGTATCCACGTATATTGCAATTTTGGGGAATTTCAAAGCCAGCCACTGTGGAGAAGCAAGGATGTTAAAGAAGAGCAGTAGCCAAAATACTATTTCCACTCAGTTCCACTCACAGACAGCCAGAAAATCGGGGTCTTGTCGTATGCTAGCAGTAAATTCTAAAGTAACACAGAAGAACTCATCTGGGGAGGAGGGCAGGAATACTGAGGACTAAACAACGCAAGGCTGCATTCCATTACTGAGCTACAGCCCAGGTCCTGCAAACATGCTTTAAAGTCCAATAAAGCATCTTTGATACAGTTAAACAAAAACATAAGCGTTTGGGGTAAATAATGAATGTAAAATGGAAAGTTAGTTGTGTTCTCAGAAATAATTTGAAATTGAGAAAAAGTATCATCACAGTAAATGCCACTGAAGACATTTATTTTTTTTTTCCTTTTTGGTGGTGTTTTGAAACAGGGTCTATGTACCATCGTTCTGAAACTCACAATATAGACCAGACTGGCCTCCAACTCAGAGTTCTCTGAGTGCTGGGCTTAAAGGCACGCACCACCACGTCTGGATGAAGACATTGTGTGCATATCTAACTGCCACAGTACTTGTACCTACTACGGAAAGTTTCCCAACCGCCTTCTCTTCTTCCTCCTCTTCCTCTTCTTTTGGTACAAATAAAAGAGTTAACTAAAAAGTGTGATAGCGAACTATCAGCATCCTTATCAGAACTGCAAGTATGGGTTCAGTCAACCCAGGAGCAGAAATATTCAAAACAACCCCCAACCCCATACAGACCAGACTGGCCTTGAACTCAGATTCTCTTACCTGTCCACAGCACTAGTATTCTACCAAGTGTCTTTCGTAAGTCACCTAGTGACGACTAAGAATAGGAGAGGTGTGCCTACGTCTTCATATGCTGATGCCTGTGCCTACGTCCTATGCTGATGCCTGT